ATGACAACTACGTCTCCTTATGACAACCACTTCAATACTACTAATTCATGAACAATACTACCAATATGCCTCTAACCCATGATTCTGAATATAAATCTCGCATTACAGAAGCAGTGCAGTTCTTTTTAAAGCCTCTACAAGCCTATACAATCTCCTAGGTCGCTCCAAAATTCAAGATCAAGTACAAAACTCTATAATGACACATATTGAAGCCGACATCTACAATGCGCAAGCCATATGGAGGACAAAACCAAGTATTGACTCCTGCAAAGATGCTGCAATTTGCCAATTTATACATGACCAACTTGAATGCAGTATTCCTGCAAATCGGAGTACGCTACTACAAGCTGTCATAGACTTGCGACAGGTCAAAGAGCTGCCCTCTTAATGCTAGCTTCAACAGTCCTCAAAGCCCACCCTAAATTCCACTCTATTTGTACAAAGGCATTAAATACTCAGCGAAAGCAAGCACAGAATCGGTCAAATTTCGAGGGCTTCTTTATGAAGTATAATGCGATTCTCACAAAATATAATATCTAGACAATTTCTGTAGGATCTATAGCAGTAGGTAGAGAACATAAACCGTAAATACAGTCACAAAGCAGTAGGGCCTAAAGTGATAATTTGTAATGCATATTCTTATAATTGAAGTTATTCTAACTACTATATATACTGTTCCGGGCCCTATTCCTGTGCCTATTCGTGGCTTGGATCCTGAAATCCTCCTGGTTTCGGTCCGTTCCCTAGAGCTTTAGAATCAAAACATTAGAAATGGAAGATCTAGGATCCAGAGGATCACGAAACTAGCTGACACAGCTTCAGTATCAGGGCTCTGATCCCTGCTTCCAGGTTGAGGATTCAACAATATCAAGTCATGTAATCTCTAGAACTTTAATGAGACAGGTTACATGATTGGATGCTATGGGTCTATAGATGTAATTGTACTAGTCGGAGTAAAGCAGGTAAGTTCACTAACTCTATTATAAAGAGTTCAATACTAACGTACAAAGTGGATTGTAGATAATCCTAATAATTCACTCTCTGTTACTGTCATCGAAGCTATAAATGCTAAAGGATATTCACTTCCTAAGTGCATTATATTACTAGGAGATATAGAGGCAGATGTCGTCCACGTAGCCGAAGCGCAGGGTGTTGTCTTCAGCAAGGAGCTCTGCTAGGTACAGCATGTAGAGGACTGGGGAGAGTGGTGATCCTTGGGGGGTGCCGCAGGTGACCTTGTGGTATGGTGTGGTGGCGTCTTCGAGCCTTACCCATATGTGGCGGTCAGTGAGGAAGCTGTAAACGAGCCATATGAGCGAAAGTGGCCATCCTTGGGCTGTCATGCGCTCAAGGAGTAGGTTTTTGAGCAGGGCGTCGAAGGCCCCTTGAACATCCATGGTGACCATGGTAACCTTGTTGCCAGCTGCAAGGGCTGTTTCGACGTCATGGGTAAAGCAGGCGACCAGGTCCATCGCTGAACATTTGGGGAGGGCGCCCCCATGTTGTGGGCTAAGGACGGAGTGAGTGAGGGCTGTCCAGGCGATCCTGCGGGCGATGATCCGCTCAAGGCCCTTAGAGATGCAGGAGAGGAGAGCGATGGGGCGCCATGAGCGGCCTGTCCTTCTTGCCGACCTTTGGGAGCATGGCTACTTCGGCGTACTTCCATGGATGGGGAAAGTGATTCGTCCGAAGGCAATGGTTCAAGAGGTTGTGGAGGGCGCCCTGGACTTGTGGCCAGCATGCCTTAAGCAGTCTGACTGTGACTCTGTCTGTTCCAGGGGAGGTGCTAGAGACCCCAATAGTGTTCCGTTCAACTTCCTCAAATGATACTCCCTGGTCCCACGGTAGGTGCCCGCTGTCATTCCAGTTGTGGAGGGGGTCCTCTTCTAGATCGTCTCCAGCGCTGAATCTGTTTGTAAGGCCTCAGCTTTTGCCAAGGTACCCTCAATGGTGAGTCTGTCTACTACGAGAGGTGGCGCTTTAAGGTTTGACGACAGCTTATGCCAGCCTATGACTTTGTAGAGTGCCTTGTCGTCTTGGACGCCGTTAATGATATGCTTCCAGTAGTTGCGTTTCGCCTGTCGGACTGTGCGGTGGAAGTCGTGTGTGGCTTCGGAGGGGCTGCCTCCTGTGTGGTTGCGCATTAGGAGGTGGTGCTTGTGTGCCTCCCGGCACTGCGGTGTCCACCATGGGGCCGGGCTGCCCTCGCCCCGGTCGGGTCTCCCTACTGTCTGGATGGAGGTGCGGAACACTTCAGTGAGTGCAGTCGCGTATTGGTCAATGTGTGCGGCGTGAGTGTTGCGATGCCGTTTTGTATGAGCCCGGCGAACCTTGGCAGGTCGGATTCGGGTATCCGGTAGTGGTGTTGTTCGAGGGGTGTGTGGCCTCTCCCTGGGATGGTCGTTATCTGGGTTTCGTGGTCCGAGCCGCTGTGTAGCCTGGGGTGCACAGCAGTGTGTGCGAAGGGGATGTTGGAGAAGATGAGGTCTAGGACGTGCCCCGCCCGCTGTGTGGGCTCTCCTGGGACCCCAATGAAGTCCATGCCGCTATCGCTAGCCCAGCGGGCGAGCTCGGCTCCTTGGTGTGCTGGCTGTATGCCCGGCTCGAACATGTCGTGCCAGGCATTGAAGTCTCCTCCTACAAGGCAGTTTGGGGGGGGGAGAGGTGCGTGACGTATTCGAGGATGTGCGGGTGGAGGGGTTGGCGGTAGGCGTTGAGGATCGCGTAGCCGTTTACGTCAGTCCAAAGCATGTCGCAGCTGTCTGTAGGGCGGCGTTGCTGAGTCTTAAGGCCGGCCCCTTTGCGGACGTATGTCATGACTCGGGGTCGTTCTGCTTCCCGCTGTTCCGCCTCAGTGCTGTCCCAGCTGTCGACTGGCGCATAGCAGTCATATCCTGGGTGGTTCTGGGTCTTTGTGCCAGGGAAAGTAAAAGGTTCCTGAACGCAGACAATGTCTATCTGTTCTGTGAAGGCCAGGTGGAGGATGGTGGTGTGGCAATACGTTACTAATAAACCACATAATGTGAATATGTGGCCTCTGTCGCACCTCTGAATGTAGGTGACCTGTGTAATGTAAGTCTTAATGTACTGGCGGTAATGGCATACTAGCGGTAGTGGGGTTGGAACCACCCCATCAAACTTACCATCTTACCTACCCAACTCTATTATGGTATGTCAAAAGAGCATAGAAGCTCAAGAGCATAATATTGTAATAGATCAAGCTATATTAGTTATTCATTCAAAGCAATATAAGTTAGTGTACGCAGCTACTAAAGCACTTCACCTCCTAGAACAATCTATCCATCGTCGTATGAATGGAGGCTTCGCACATGTAGAAGCGCGTCAAAAACAACAACTATTATCAAAAATGCAAGAACAAACACTCTTAAAGTGGATTAGAGAGCTAACAAGTAGTGGATAAGCACCTAGCCACTGAATACTACAAGAAATTGCAGAAGAGGTTCGAGCAGACCATTGCTAGGTTTTTAATTTACACAACCAACTTCACAATCAACTTCATGAACAATTTCAACCTATACCACACCTTCCATTAGGTCAAGATTAGGTTCCACGTTTTATTAAACGACATCCACATCTACAGGTATGACTAGGAAGATAAATTAAAGTACAAAGGATGAGTGAAGTTACAAAACAAGTCATAAAAGGGTGGCTTGACGTGTATAAGGATCTTCTAATGCATCTAGACATCAAAGAATACAATGTGTATAACATGGATGAGACGGGATTCTCAATCAGAACAATGGAATCTAGATGGATTATTGTTAACTCTACACTTTGTACATGTCATCAAGCACATCAAGGTCAACAAGAATGGGTTTCTGCAGTCGAGTGTATTTGCATAGACGGCACAACTATCAACCCTCTTATTATATTTAAAGGCCAAAATATACTATAGAGTTGGATTTCACAAGATGTGATAAATAAGTGGCACTTCTCTGCAAATTCAAAAGGATGGACAAGTAATTTACATGGACTTAAGTGGCTTGCTTAAGCGTGTATTTGAGCCTATAACGCGTGCAAAAGCAAATAGAGGACAACAACAACGCCTTCTTATTTACGACAGCCATGACAGTCATATAAGTGGGAATTTCATTTCTCACTGTATATCGCATATCAATCCTTATATTACTGCCACATACTTCACATGTATTATAGCCACTTGATGTTCTAATTTTTAGACTATTGAAAAAGAGGCTTATAACAGCTCTTTTACATTTAAATGAAGCACAACTCCTATGTGTGCAAAAAGCAGAGTGGCTATCTGCATATATAACAGCAAGAGAGTTAGCATTTTCAACTCAAAATATCACTTTAGCATAGAGAGGAGCAGGATACAACCATTTGAACCACGACGAATTATCCGTGAAGTGACACTTTAAGAAGTTATTGAAGTTGAACAACAGCCTTAAACACCACAACAACATGATATTTTTGATACTGTCTTTCAAAATAGTAGCCCACCTGACTTTACAACACTACAAAAAGCAAATACAGTAGTCTCTACTATTCTTAAAGCCTGTACAGTGTTAAACACACCTACAAAGCGATATATTCAAAAGTTAGCAGATGCAACAGAGCGACTAAATACACGCAATTTTCTACAACAATGTGATACTGACAATCTACGATCAATTGTTCAAGCTCGGAGAGTATAGCAAAAAGGCAAGCGAGCAATTTTAAAGGGTCATTTTCATATTTCTACAAGGGAATTGCAGCTATAGGTCGTTGCAGCAGAGGAGGCTACTTGACAGAAGTCAATAGCAACAGGTAGTAGAACTACAAACAAGGCTATAATTGAGCAAGGAGATGAAGAATCTATCGAAGAGGACTTGGGAGAAGTATCTAATTGTATTTTAATTGAGGATTAGAGTATATATAATTTTATTTTTGTTGTTGTTCACGATGTTCCAACCGTACTACCGCCAGTACGCCATTACCGCCAGTACGCCACGACTTACGTTACTCGTCGCGCCTACCAGAAACAACCTCGCACAGCCCCACAGACGACCCTTCCCAACCAGTCATTATCACCAACTGGGGCAGATTCTCCACGACGTACATACTCGGGTACATGGGTAATTTATTGCGATAGATACTTATCGACCCATTTTGTGAGGCTTTTTGGTGCCGAGTGACGCCGTTCACGTGGTGGTCTGCGCGTCGTCATCCCGTCTCCCCGAAACCAATGCTACCTTGCGTGCTTCCTTGAAAAAGAAAAGGTTGAATTTCCCCATGGACTGGAGACCAATCTGTGAATGAAGAAACCAGCTGCCGGTCGGTTGTTAAAGCATGGCTTCGTCACACGCCCAGGAGGAGGAGGGCATTACGAATGAGAAGGCTACGAACGAGTACGTTGAAACAATGCCTCCCAATCCCATGTGCCGAGGTACTGATAAAGAAGGCCTCTGCTCTCGTATGAAGAAAGATATTCAACGTCTTCACTCGACTCGGAGGATGATGCCATTGAAGATGAGGCGCTGCTTAATAGCGACTTGCCAGAAGTACGAGACGGTGCCGAGGCTGAAGCCGCTGAGCCGTTCCTTGCATTTGATGATTTGCCAGACGAGGATAGAAATATTTTAACGTTTAGAGCTATTCTTGTTGGTCTACTTTGCGGTGGGCTTGTAAATGCTTCCAATATATACCTCGGTTTGAAATCAGGATGGACATCCGGAGCGAATATTTTCGGAGTAGGGTTACCTTTCTCAGTGCCTCCAAAAAGGACATGAATACTAACCCAGTGAATAATAGTCCATTGTTGGGTTTGCTGTATTAAGATCATTTTCTAAATACTGTAATGGTATCCCCCTCCTTGGAGGAGAATTTGGGCCACGAGAGGTACGCATTTCAGTTGGCTCTCATCTGGCATTATGCTTACGGCCGATAGAACAACATTGTTCAAACTGTTGCAACCGCTGCAGGAGGACTCAGCAACGTTTTTGTCTCCGCTATCCCTGCCATGTACCAGCTGGATCTGCTACAAACGCCATTGCAGGACTTTTGGCGGATAACGATACTCACCGCTATCGGAGCTTATTTCGGTCTCTTCTTCGCGACTCCCTGTATGTGAAAGCCATGTTGCGGTACGCCGAGTGAATAGCACGATTGCTAACATCTAGTCAGTGAGAAGCTTCTTTGTCATTCACGCCGCACGAGAGTTGCAACTCATTTTCCCGTCATCGTATGCTACGGCTACTACCATTCGAAGCATTCATTTGGCAGTAGGCGGCGCAGATATGGCAAAGCAGAAAATGAGGGCGCTATCATATGGTTTCGGGTATGCGATGATTTGCCGAGTTCTATCTCAATTTGCAGTTGGCATTCTATGGGTGAGTCCGGCCACTGACAGATATGTTGATAACGTATAACTTATATTTAATAGGATTGGCACCCATTTACCTGGCTCTATCTAATTAGTGGCTCCAAGGCTGCATTGGCGTTTGAAAGCTGGGGCTGGTTTATTGAGTGGACTCCTGCCTTCATTGGATCCGGCATGCTTGTTGGGCTGAACGTCTCCTTATCCTTTGTTGGCGGCAGTGTCCTAGCTTGGTAAGCCCATTCGTGATAAATATTATATTATGGACGCACACTGATCAATTTCTAGGGGTATCATTGGTCCAATATTAGTTAATAGAGGGATTGCATTTGGGCACCCGGCTGTGTCTAATAACCAAACATGGGATGGATTAATGTCATACTCCAGTCTCTCGGATGAGTTTGCGTCTGCGAATCATCCAAGCCCGAGGTATTGGTTATTATGGCCAGGTATTACGTGTATGATAGCTGTCTCGTTCACTGGTAAGGTACGACATCTTTCCACATGAACAGGGTACTAATTTGATATCAGAGCTTGCCTGCCAGTGGAGAATCTTTATTTTATCGGGAAAAGTTCTATACAGAGGCACATTAAAAGTCTGGGCACGAGTGACAAATCGAAATGGGCGTGAGGCTTTTACGGAAAAGTATGACGACGAAGACAGCAACAAAACCATCGACCCTGCTTCACGAGATGAGCTGGTAGCAACGTGGATGTGGTTACCTGGATTACTGTTTGTGCTGATTATGGCATGCGTCGTCATGAAAAGCCAGTTTGACATGCCAGTAGGCGAAATCTTATTGGCACTGTTTCTGGCGTTTTTCTTCTCCTTCCTCGCTATACAGTCCACGGGCGCTACAGGTGGGGAGACCCCGTCCACTGAATCAACTTTTCTAATTAGGGGCAGATATCACACCTTTGACCGCTGCATCGAAAGCTTCTCAGATCATACTTGGGGCAACAACGAGTGGCCAAGGCTGGACTTTACAACAAGCGCAGAGGTTAAACCTCATTGGGGGGGCGCTTGCAAGCATTGGAGCAAATCAAGCAGCCGGTGAGAATATGTATGCCATCTGTAATATAATATAAAGGCTAACACCTTGACAATAGACCTTACTGGAGATTTCCGGGTTGGCTTTCTCCTCCGAACCTCTCCGAAACTTCAATGGTTTGCCCAGAGCATAGGAACATTCGTTGCCGTCTTCCTCGCTCCCTCAATTTTCGTCTTGTTCGCTACGGCCTATCCCTGCATCTTAGATGCATCGCCGGATACCTGCCCTTTTGCAGCTCCATCAGTATCTGCGTGGAGAGCCGTGGCCATTGCAGTAACAAGCTCGGATTTTGTTATCCCTTCTTCGTCGAAGTGGTTCAGCATATTATTCGCAGTCTTCGGGGTTTTTATGGTGTCATTGCGGCATTGCATCTGGACTGGGCGTTGGGACTGGGTGAGAGCATATCATCCAAACATGATGATTATCAGTCTAGCCTTCCTGTTGCCAAGTACTGTCTATGGGACAGCGATGTTCGTTGGAGCTGGTTTGGCATGGGCCTGGAACAAGAAAAGTCCACAGTCATATGTGATATTTGGGAGTGCTGTTGCAGCTGGATTCATGGCTGGCGAGGGAATAGGCGGGGTTATCAATGCAGCGCTGACTGTGATGGGTGTGGACTTTGACAAGATTGGGACGAGCTTTTTATGCCCCGGGGACAAGTGCTGAGCGGTTATTCACAGAGACATAGACTCTATCAACGCCTTATTATGGCTATGGGTTGATCCTACAATATACATATCCGTATGTTATTTCAACCTTCCAACACTGGCCTCGAATCGAAATCCGAAGAGGAGGAGAGGTGAAAATCGAAGATACCCCGCGCATTATAGGTGATTAATTCTGGGGCCCTGTTACTTATGAAAACTCAAAGGTGTTGGTTACGATTGTTTGACCGTGCATGGAATCAACTACTGGGCATAAATCCATAACCCAAGCAGATTCGAGAAGTCTTGGTGATCTTGATCATCGATGGGCAGGCGAGTCAGCCGCCCCGCAAAACTCTATTTGAACCTCGCGAAAATAAATAAAAATGCTTGGCACCAGACCCTGGCAGAGTCAAAAACAACCCCTCTATCCCACAACTTCCCCTCCATCCCCATCCACCCTACCCTCAAAATTCCGCCATAACTCCTCTACTCCATTATGCCACCAAAGAAAGCAACAGAGGCGACGACGAATAATGTCGTCGCCTTCGGTCGCGTCAAGTCCAACCTAAAGATGGGTTGTGTGGGCCTGCCGAACGTCGGCAAGAGTTCGCTGTTTAACCTCATGACCGAGCAGAGCGCCTCGGCGGAAAACTACCCATTCTGTACCATTGAGCCGAATGAGGCGCGTTGCATTGTCCCTGACCCAAGATATGTATGTTCTTCTCACCCCTTTTCTTGTTTTCGGCATTTTCACGTGATGAATCTTTCCCTTCACCCTTTTTGGTCAGGTGACCGGAATATTGAGCCCCTGGCTAATGTGAGATAGGACTTCTTGTGCAAGGTCTGGAAGCCTCCGAGCATGTATCCCGCATACTTGCAGGTGACGGATATTGCTGGTTTGATTAAGGGGGCGAGTGAGGGAGCTGGACTGGGAAATGCGTTCCTGAGTCACATCCAGGCTGTGGATGGGATGTACCACGTTGTCCGGTGCGTTCTTTGCGGGGTATTGAGTGATAGAGCCGTCACTGACTATTGCATAGCGCGTTTGATAACGATGAAGTTCTGCACGTTGATGACTCCGTTGACCCTGTCCGCGATTTGGGTAAGCATTTGCCCCTTTGACGCGGGCAAAACAGACGCTAATGAAGATTCTGTGCAGATACGATCCAGAGCGAGCTGTGTAAGAAGGACTTGGATATTCTTGTTAAAGCTAAGGTTTCCGAGGAGGCCATTGTGCGGAAGGCTGGAGGAAAATTCAAGATGCTGCCGCTGTTCGATGAGACAACTGCTAAAATCAAGGCGGTAAGTTCGACGTCTCTCCCGTAGAGATGTGCAGTTGGCTTACCCCTTATAGCTCTTGGAGCAGGATAAGCCCGTTAGGGATGGAGAGTGGACGACTCCAGAAATCGAGTTGATCAACGACAAGGTTCGTCTTAGATACTATAATCCTCGGAGATAATGCTGACAATACCAAGCTCCGCCTCATCACTACCAAGCCAGTTATCTACCTCATCAACCTGACCATGAAAGACTACCTCCGCCAAAAATGCAAATACCTCCCCAAGATCGCAGAATGGGTCAAGGCCCACGGCGGCGCAGGCACAGACATCATCCCCTTCTCCGTCGAGTTCGAGGAGAAGCTGTGGAACCTACGCGACGACAAGCCCGCCCTCGACGCCTTCATGGCCGAGATCAAGGTCCAGAGCCGCCTCGGAAAGATCACCAACGAAGGTACATGTCCCCACCATCCCCTCCATGCTCCCCATCCTAACATGACAGGTTTCAACAAGCTCGGCCTGCAGTATTACTTCACCGCCGGCGAGAAGGAGATCCGCTGCTGGCCTATCAAGCAGGGTACGCTCGCTCCGCAGGCTGCTGGTGTTATCCACGGCGACTTTGAGCGCGGGTTTATCAAGGCTGAGGTCGTGGCGTATCAGGACTTTCATGATCTCTGTAATGGGGAGAAGTCGATGGCGCCGATTAAGGCGGCGGGGAAGTATAGGCAGGAGGGGAAGACTTATATTGTGCAGGATGGTGATATTATTCACTTCCAGTTCAATGTTGCGCCGCCGAAGAAGAAGTAGAGTTGAAGCTGTTGGGAAAAGTTCTGTCTGCTGTTGTTGATTTGAAGATCTAGATATCCATTAGTATAGAATAGAGTTATGCTAGAGTAAACGAAATTATGCGGTTTAGTGGTGCCAATACCCTGCGTGCATGATAAGGGGACTTGCAGGTATTATCGATTCCTAGCGGAGGTTAATTAAGCTCACAAACTGACCACAGGGACCACAGTTCAGGGATGAAATAGGCATAAATCCATAAATTCATAACCGCCAACTCATCATCACACAATCTCGAAGTTTACATACAACAACCCCTCCCCGTGGCCCCTTTCTCCAGAAGCCCCATCCCACAGCCCGCAAATTATCTCGAGCCTCTGCTCCCCATTCCGCGCCAAGAGGGGAAAATAGATAGCCTCTCAGCGACCTCAGCCCGCAACAATTTCATGCCCCTGGTATCCGCAACCCCTCAATCAAGAAAAGCGTACACCTGCATCCACCACTCCCACCATTACCGCGCTCCATCTTCACACGCAAGAAAGAAAAGGTGTACAGAAAGTAAGATGCATCAGCAGCATCCATGACGACCCCACGCAATCTCTCGCCGACGTACTGGCGCCATGTCCTGTGCCATCCCACGCACGCACGCACGCTTTCCCAGAAGTAATAAAATGAGCGTCTCGGAAGGGGAAAATCAAGCTAAATAAGACAAAAAAGCGGTTCGAGTTATAAGGAAAGGCCTGAAAAGGCGTGTCTAAGTGGGTTATTGCGTGACATCGTGGCCGTCTGGACGGTATGTGTGGTTTTTTACCTCGTGGTATTCGATTCGCTCTCGTATCTCCCCACCCCCGTTCAATTTTTTCCGCTGCTGTTATATGTATGATGGTACACTACTGCACGCTCTGCCTGCTCGTCGCGCCCGGTCTCTGGCCAGGACCGGGCGTGTAGCTGCGCGTTCCCTGCGAGAGGCGGTTGCGCACGGAGCTCGTAGGGGTGTGCGCCAGATGTCCCACGTCATGGAGTCCTATAACAGTCATTAGCAACCACTCCCCCTAAAATACGCTTCTGGGGATTCAAACTCACCATCACAGCACGCCCTCACATTCTCCAACCGATCACTCTCACGATCCTGCTTCTCGATCATCGCCCGCACGTCCTCGGCACTATCATGCACCTCGCTAGTCTCATATATGCTATTCTGCCCCGTGCTCTGCCTGCTCCGCCGCGCACCGTACACCTCCCCATTGCTCGTGCGCCAGTAGTTGCTCAGTCGCGAGACCACCGACCCGCGCGACGCCGCGGTGCCGTTGTAAGGGGTGTTGTTTAGTGTTGGGCGCTCTGGGATGGCGGGTGACTCGTTGCGCGTGGCGCGGCTGTTGTAGGAGGATAGGGAGGCGGCGCCGCCGCGGCGGGAAGAGCGGAAGCCGGGGTTAAACTCGTCGACGTCGTCGGCTGTCAGGGCGTCGGGGGCTTCATCGGCGGTGTCCTCGGGAGCGTCGTCGGTGCGCAGAAGGAGGTAGGAGAGGGCGTTGAACCAAATCTCGTGGTTGTGTCCCGTCTGCGAGGTGAATTTGACCGAGCGTCCAGGCGTTAGGATGACAAGACTCTTGCGGTGCAGTCCAGGTGGCATCGGGTTATCGTCTGTGACGACGCGGACGGCTTCGATGGCGACGCTCTTGGCTTTAAGCTCGCTGCGCCCAGCGGTCGAAGGATCACGGTCGCTCCAGTACAGAGTACGCGTGTATGGGTGGACCCAGAAGTAGCGGCGGTGGCGCGTGGAGGACATGTCGCTACGGCCGGCCTTGCGGGTGTACTTCCACAGGTAGTCACCGATCATGGTCTGCGTGATCGCCTGGATCATGCGCGGGTCGGTGCCGGAAGCCACGCCGGGGATTTCGGTAGGGCCGCCGCGCAGGTTGAAGCGGCTCTCCACTTCGGAGGCGAAGGAGGTCACCGACGAGGCGCGCGAGCGGCCTGTGATAGAGGGGTTCAGCTCAGCGCCACCAGGATATCTTGGGCGAGGCGTAGTGCCGTTCTTGGGGCTGCTTGGACCGCGGGAGCTGGATGGAGTCCTCGGGCGCAGCTGGGAGTTGGAATTCATATAGGCTGATGCAGGTAGGAGTGGAGGACCCATGATGCCCGTGTGGTTACTAGACGAAGATCCAACCCGCTGGGCTGCAGCAATGACCTGTTGGTGGTTTGGAGGCAGTGGGGGGTGTTGGCTGCTGATGGAGCGGCGGTAGCTACCGGAGCTGCCAGGCCTGTTGCTGGGCTGGTTCTCACGGTCAAGGCTGAGATCCAAAGCCTTCGGGCGCGTAATTCTGACACTGCCCATGCTTTCCCGAACTCGGATTGTTGGGGGAACGACGGTTCGTGAGGGCGACAGTGGCTTCTGCGAGTCCTCGGTCAGGATATCGTATTGTCGGTCGCTCTTCCTCGAGAGCATCTCATCGATCTCCTCCGAGGTAAGTGACGTCTGAGCAGTAGAGCTCGTCATATCAGGCTTGGCTTTGCTTGGAGGCCTCTCATTTGTGTTGACAGACAACTCCTTGAATGGGCGCTGCGACTCTGGCGTCTCTGCCAGCGGTGACTGGTTAGGCGACTGGCGGGTCTCGTCTTCGGCAATAAGGGGGCCAACGGGCGTTTTAGCCTTCGCCCAGCTCATTAAGCCGTTGAAGTTACCCTTGCCCTTTGGCGTCTCTGGGCTCTGGGTTGAGAGCTCCTTGTCTGATTTATCTGATAGGAAGGCCCCTACCCCGAGGGCACCTGCGCCAAGAGCACCTGCTCCGAGAGCACCTGCCAAGAGGTGATTGTGTGCTGGGCTCGGGGGCTCAATTGGCTCTGTTGACGTAGAGGTGATGGATGAGAATGCCAGGGCAATAGGAGTAATTGGTCGCGGTGGTGTGACGGGTCTGACAATGGGAGAAATTGGCTCGGTCTCGGTATTTGACACAGATGAGAACGCGAAAGCAACAGGCGTCACTGGTCGCGGTGGTGTGACGGGTCTGACGACGGGAGAAATTGGCTCGGTCTCAGTATTTGACACAGACGAGAATTCGAAAGCCACAGGCGTCACTAGCCTCTTCACAGGCGACTCGGGCTCCGTGGCAGTATCACCAATGGAAGAGAATGCCATGTTAATCGGGGCCACGACCTTCTCGACGGGGCTAATAGGTTCTGTCTCCATAGCTTCAATGGAAGAGAATGCCATCTTAACCGGTGTGACAGCCCTTTCAATAGGGCTAATCGGCTCAGTATCCAGAGCATCAATAGGCACGAATGCAAGCTTGACAGGCGTAACCGGGCGCAGAACCGGGCTAACAGGTTCCATCGCCACAGCCTCAATGCCCGAAAACTCCATCTTGACAGCAGTCGCCGGCCTCTCAATGGGCTCCGTCTCAGTTCCCTCAATCGGCGCAAACGCAAGCTTAACAGGCGTAGGCACGTGTAGGACTGGGCTTAGCGGCTCAGTGTGCGACGTCCCGATAGACGAGAACACCATCTGCACCGGCGTGGCAGGCGCAGGGATAACGGGCATCATGTCCTCTGCCTGGATGGTAGAGATGCTCAAAGGCGGAAGAGGCGCGGAACGCGTAGGGGGTGTAGGGAACTCAGCCAAGCGCTCGCTGACGTCGCCGGCCTGAGTGCTGACGTCGCTCATCACAGATAGACGGTTGTCGGTCAACTGGTGGGCAGCCTCGACGAGCCCGGCGCCTACGAGGCCGCTGGCAAGGCCGCTAGCAATAATTGGAACGGCGCTCTGGGGTGTCGCTGGCGCGGGCTCCCAGCCGTCGGTCATCATGCTCGAATCCACCATAGCTGGCTTTGGCAGCGCCGGAACAGGGGGAATGTCGAGCGCAGACATGCGCGCGGACGCGCCGCCAGGTGTATCACCGGGCGTGATACTGCGGTTCCGTCCAGGTGTCATGCCATCGACGCTAGAGCCCATGGCCGACTCATCATCGCTGCCACCAAGGTCGCCAAGTTCTGCGAATAGACTCTGGCCAGGTTGTTGAGGTGTGCCGTTGTTGCTTGCCGCGGGGCTGCTGTCGATGGAAGGCTCTTCGCTGGCGATACGATCGCGACGGGATGATCCGCGGCCCATGCGCAGGCGGAGGCGCTGGGGTTGGGACTGGACGGGTGTCCTGAGCTCCTCGTAGCTGTATTCGTCACCTGAAGTTGAGGCAGTGCTGAGGAAGGAGCTTCGCTTCGCGGCCATGTTAAGGGGTGCTGGGCGGCCGCGAATGGTGCTGACATTTGCGCCGCTCTCGGTCTCAGTCAGCTCATCACTGTCGGTGTTACCCTCATTGCCAGTGTGGAAGTCATCGGTCTCGGTGTCGCGCTCGTTGGCCGTCTCGAAGGCGTCGCTAGTCTCGTTGCAGGTCTCGAACTGGCCGCTGGACTCGGCGTATTTGCCAGGCATCGAGGCAACGCGAGCTGAAGCAGCGCGCGAGGGGCTAGACTCGCCATCTTGGTCTTCCCATTGAGCATCATTCATAGAGATTTCGCTTCTGCTATTGCGGAGAGCGCCAAGTTGGCCCTTAGAGAGCTTCTTGAACTCCTTGGAGTCCATTTTGCGACTCTTCTTGATGGAGCCTGAAGCGGCATCTGTGCGGCGAATCTCCAGTTCGTCCCTAGCATCCTGAAGCATCCGCTTAAGCTCCAGTTTCTCTGTCTTTTCGCGGTGGATGTTGCCCTTTAAACTCTGAATCATTCGGTGTGCGTGATGCAGCGAGCTCTTCAGAGTTTCCGCCTCGAGATGGCTATGGCGTGGAGTCATTTTAGTTGGCGACGGTGGTGGAGAGTGCTCAGGTGTGACATTGTCATCTGCGGTCTCGAAGTCTTCGTCTGTGGCATCCTGGCTCTCCTGTTCATCTGCAATACCACGTTGGCGTGCAACCGCCATGGCAAGCTCATGGTTCTGGCCAGTCAAGTCTTCGATCTTGCGCTGCAGCGCTCCTCGCTCGTTCTCGACCATTGCCATGTTCCGCTTGAGTCCTCCGAGCTCCGTATCGTGGTGTTTCACCGCCGCTGCGTGGGTCTCGGACAGTTTGGAGTGGCTCAGCTTCATTTCGTCAAGATCCTTCTGGGCAGTTGTCTTCTGAACTTGGAGTGCATTCAGGCTCTGAGTAAGCTTCTTCTCGCGAGCAGCTGCTTCTTTGGCGGTTGCGATATGCTCGTGTAGCTGGGTCTCGAGACTCCAATTCTCGTCCTTGTAACGTTGTTCGCTTTCGTCGAGAGCTCGTAATCGCTGATTGAATCCCTCGGCCTCTGCCTCCAGCCGTGCCTTTTCGGTATTCACGTTTCGTAGAGATTCTTCTTTTTCAGCCAGAAGCGCTTGTAGGTGCCGGACTTGTGACAAGAGAGAGGTAGAGATCTCGGTTGCAAATTCGATATCGTGAACTCGGTTTGAGGGCTGGTTTCTCTGCTTGCGGTTGGGTACGCTCAGCTTGGATGGCGAGGCAGTAGCTTGGCTTTCGAATTTCGAGGGGCTCACGGATCGCTTCACGAATGGTCAGTATGTGAATTGAAAGTGAATGGAAGACCGCATACCTTGCCCTGAACTGGAAATGGAGATTCAGCCAACTCGCTGCTCGACACCCTCGACTTTGGCAGAAACGCCCGCGCGCTCTCGCGGCCAACCTCATTGTACTCCTTCTCGATGTCCACCAATTTCTGCCTCAGCTCTGGCGTGATCTCTCCCTCATCTTGCTCTTTCTCGATCTCCTTCAGTCGGTCTGCAAGTTCCTTTCGCTGCTGAACGAGCGTCGTGCCCAGCTTCGACGCGTCCTGTATCCTACGTTCGGTCTCTGCGAGATGTGCCTCCAATGCCCGCTTTGCTTGCTCCGGAGATGTGGTTGGGCCAAGCGCGAATAGCTGACTGTCGAAGTTGGAGTAGCGGTGACTCGTGCTCGACGTGAAGGGGTCTCCTGCAGCCATGTTGGCGTACGGTTGTTCGGCGTCGGTAGCTGCCATGATGTCGTCGGCGGAGGTCCCGATCCTTTAAAGCAGCTTCCTATGCCTCCCTAAAACTAGATCAGGCACAAGGAGTCGCTCGCGTTTTGTTTGCTGCCTGTCTGGCCCTACGGGAAGCTGTTCATGGGTTGCGTTTGCGAAATGCCGAATTAGTCTCGTTCTTCACAATGGCGACCAGGCCGAGGGCGTGGTTAGTCGTTGTGGAGAGGGCTGTGTTGTTTGTGCGAGTCGGGATCGCCGTGGTCGTGTAATATTGGCGTAGCGTTTGTAGATCAACCAACCACACAGAACGCGTGGATGACGCGGGAAGAGTCCTGTATTAATTTCCCCGGTATTCGTTCACGGGTGGTCGTCTCAGATTCTGTGATTGACGATTTGAGTCAGTGAATGGGGAGAGTCACGGACAGAGCGATGGTCGTAGAAGCGCGTCAAGAGCAGAGAGAGTAGCCGACAGATTGCCATTACCAGTGGAAACAACATATTGGAAGCGAGAGACACGGACACAGCGAACAGCTCAGCTCAGCTATATCACAAGACATTTTAATTATATTTCCTACAGATTCCCCACGTTCCATGTTTTGATGTTTCTGTGGAGTATGAGTAAAAGTGCAGGAGAAAAAGACTCGACTAACCATAAGGCTGATTTGTCTCCATCTCATGTCAGAAGAGTTAGCTGCTGCCAGGGGGAGGATCCTCACTATCCTCGGTCGCGTTCCAGAGACTTGTCAAAAGGGCAGAATGTCAATACTGTCACTGTCTGATAAGTATTACAGCTGTACAGTCAGTACAGTAACAATTCCAACTAAAATTCGGTGGCAGCGATATAGAATAGTAAAAAAAGTTCGTCTGATGTTTTCAGTAGACTTGTATGGGGGTTCTGACTATTTTCTTGGTGAAAGGTGAGGGTCTAAGGGTGAGGGTGAGGGTGAAGGGTAAGAGGGTTGTACTTGGTACAACAGTAGGGTACTAGGGGTATATTAGGGACGGAAGTACAGAGTACCCAGTTACATAAGTTACATCCCAAATGTAATGTAAACAACGGAAAATACAACTACCGGTCCGCGCGTTTGATTGGCTAATATTTGATCTAAGTGCGTTACATAAGCGATCCACATTTCCACAAGGCTCCGGAACTCTTATTCAGCCTCGAGGCTATCCCATCGCCATTCCAAGAACAACTTCACCACAACCCTCAACCACCCACCATGGAAGCTCCAACCTCACCTCCCAAAGCTGCAGAAGAAGCACCCACCCCAGTAGCCCTCTTCAAAAAGCGCACCAACAAGAACAAATCCAACATCCGCAAGCGACCCGCCACGCCCCCCCCAGCCAACTCAGACTCCGACGACTACTCCTCCTCCGAAGACGAAGCAGGCCACAAGATAAAACGCCGCAAGCACAACACCGGCACCATAACCGCCTCCTCCAAACCCACCGCCTCCACCACCGAAATCACCCCCGCCGCCCACGCCGCCTCCCGCGCCGGCATCACCAGCGCTAACGACGCCACCAAGACGACCGAGTGGTTCGATGAGCGCCCGCCCTCATTCTCCAGCAAGCAGCTCTTGGGCAGCACGCGCGCCCTCCCCGCAGCCCCAGATGGCACATACAAAGGCCTCGCGGCGCAGAAACAGACGACGTTCATCCAGCGCAACCCCGACGCGCCTAATCGCAACATCGGGCCCATCAAAGCCCCGACCAATATCCGCACCATCACCGTGACGGACTTTGCGCCGGATGTGTGTAAGGACTATAAGACTACGGGGTTCTGTGGGTTTGGAGATAATTGCAAGTATCTGCATGCGCGCGAGGACTATAAGGCTGGGTGGCAGCTGGATAAGGAGTGGGAGACTGTGACGAATGGGAAGAAGAATATTGGCGGGACGACGGTCGCGAGGGCGGGACGAGGGATGGGGGAAGAAGAGGAGGAAGATGATGAGGATGCGGAGTTGGAGGGCGTGCCGTTTGCGTGTATTATTTGTCTCGGGGGGTATAAGCATCCGGTTGTAACGCGGTGCGGGCACTACTTCTGCGAGGCGTGTGCGCTGGGGAGGTATAGGAAGGATCCCAGTTGTGCGGCGTGTGGGTCGGGGACGGGAGGGGTGTTTAATGTGGCGAAGGGGCTGAAGAAGTTGTTGGAGCGGAAGAGGGAGGCTGCAAGGAAGAGGAGGGAGAGAGCGATAGAGGCTGGGGAGGAGGTTAGTGAGGATGAGGAGGAGGGGATGGAAGAGTGAAAGGGTGAAAGGGTGAAAGGTTGGGAAATCCGCATGCTATAAGTTCCAAGTGATAGACTTCCTCCACAGTCTCTATCCCCGCTGACCACCTCGTCAGTATCTATCCTCGCCGACCTTCTCCCCAGCCTCGGCGAGGATAGAGGCTGAGATGGAGGTCGCTGGGTATAGCGGCTGGGGAGGAGGTTGGTGAGGATAGACACTAGGAAGGAGGTCAGTGGGGATAGACGCTGAAAACGAGGTTTGTGAATATGATGAGGAATACGTATCTATCAAGTGAGTGGTCACCCCATTTTACACCTAAAATCATGAATTTTGTAACTAAATATCTTAAACAACTATTTAGTAGTAAACTATAAATATGTATATCTAGCCTTTATAGGCATTTAAAGTGTCTTATTTGAATTTTAAAGCAATTAGGCTTATACTGTACGGAGTCATTAAAATATTAAGACTTAGGTCTAAAGTAGGGGCTAAAACTTAGTATCTTAATGACTATAAGCCTAATTGCTTTAAAATTCAAATAAGACACTTTAAATGCCTATAAAGGCTAGATATACATATTTATAGTTTACTACTAAATAGTTGTTAAGATATTTAGTTACAAAATTCATGATTTAGGTGTAAAATGGGGTGGCTCACTTGTGTGGCCCACTCGCTTGTAAAATACGGTGATAAGTTAGTAAAATATGTAATGTATTTTTACCATTCCCCCTTTCCGTTTACATATCGCGCCACTCTTTATATAGACCCAAGAGAATGAGCACCCCGGCCGTTGACAACACCACAGAAGAGGTTAGGGAGGACTCTGGAATTACGTGGAAGGGCGGCCGGCCGCCACGGTAAGAGTTCCCGTGGAGCTAAATCCTGCTTCAGGAGACCACGGTGAATAAACGGGAAACCAACTTAGCACCTTTCGTTTCTATCTCCGGATTGGGAAAAATATGTATAGTCACATGAAGCTGAATGTTGTTTAATCCGTTATAATTTTAATATGCTCTATATAGGTACAGAATATCAAGGAAAGTCTAACACTAAAAGATGGTCTGAACAATAGCCGTCAACATCGCCTCTAACAAACTAGACCTTAACATGGATATAGTTGAACCTGCCCTTGGGAACTGTGCCCGTGCAATAACCCCTGTACTTGTTGTAGTTGTACTCCTCGATAGTCACAGTGTTACCAGAGACCTTGGTAAGACGTGGCCAGCAGATCCAGCATTGCTCTGTGCAATACATCCAGGGACGGGGTTGTTGTCAACATGGACGCCAGTCTTGCGTGCGGCCTCATCCCAACTGTTCACGTTTCCCCAGTTGGTACCCTTGTACTGATTATGAAACTTGATACCGAGGCGCTCGTTGATGCGCCAGGCGACGAAGCTGGTGCATTGGCACTTGAAGTAGTGCCATTTGTCCTCGGGGCCGCATTGGCTCTTGTACGGGTAGTTGTTCGTCAGGGATGTTGCCGCCGCCGCCGCCGCCATCCGCACTTGGGCTTCACGTATCCGTTGGTGCCGGTCTTGACATAGTAGTCGGCGACGTAGCAGCCGTCGGTGGTCTTGTCCCATATGCTGTTTCCGCTGATGACGAGTCCTTCGCTCTGGCAGCTGATCGTGACACTGTCGCCCTTCTTGTAGGTTTTCTTTACGGTATAGCTCGTGCTGGGGCCTGAGCGGCAGTTGACGGTCGTGCTGGTAATGGGGTAGGCGAAGGCACTGTCGACAGGAATGCCGCAGTGCAAGCAACAAGACTGAGAAGCTTCATTGTGGATGAGGTCAAGAAGATGTGGTGGTGTATAATAAAGCTGAATTGAGGAAGATGGAGTTGTGATTGTAATCGTGGATGTGATTGTGATTGTGAATGTGAATGTAATTGTGATTGTGACTGTCCAAAAAAGACGCTAATGTGGCTGCCACGACCTCTTTATAATACATGCCCAAACAGCTGTGCCCGTCATGAAGAAGAGATAGAAGAGAAAGATGAGGCTAAAAATATAGAAGAGATAGCCTTGCCATCTTCTCTCCAAGACTTTATTTTTACAGCTTAACCCTTAAGCTATGCCTCTAATATCAGTAGCTGCATAGTTTGATAGAAGAATGCCTTACCATATACTCGGCATTTCATTTTTCAGCTTCACCTCTAGACTTCGCCTCAATGGGAAGGTTTTGTACGGATAGAGAAGCTTCAAGATAGCCGCACCTGTTCAGTGGCCGACCCTTCTGCAACAAAGAAATGACCGAAACCAGAACCAGAGAGGACGCATTGCCATGCCATACTTGTTGGCAATTTCATTTCCGAGCTTACTCAATAGACTTCGCCTCAATCGCATGGCTTACAGTGTATCTCTCGTTTCTTCAGCGCAGTGGTGAGAGGTGAAGAAGGGGAGGTTTGTGGGTCTAGAACTATAGCTGGGGGTTATTATTTCGTAGAACGGGTCGCGTCGATCTGTCAGTCGGACGGGAGAACACATCAAGCTTATTTAGAGGGACACTAACGACGGCGATCAAAGATCTGTCTAACTTAAAGAAGAAAATATCGTTGTACAGTCATGACGCGTTAAGTCGATACTCGATTCACGTTACGTCGATACGTTTTGCTGGCCTCAACCCCCCTGTCCACTACCAAAATACGTTCGATATCTCGATATTTACGCTATCTCGATGGTATTTACGGGACCCGAGCTATCGACTTAACGGATTATGACTGTTAGATCCTACCCCATCAAACTCTATTTTAAGCAAAAAATGTGGCGCACGTGTAATTTGTGTGGTTGCAGTTAGGCTGCGCACTACTCGCTCAATACTCGGCTCACTCGCTCAGTGGGTTACTCAGCTGGGTGAGTAGCTGAACCTTTTACTCGACTCGGTGAGTGAGGTCAATACTCAGTTACTCTGTAAAAACCCGGTGAGTACTCGGCTATCACGTGTAAGATTTATGCATCATGTGAACAGTCCCTCATACGATTAATACTGTTTTATGGTTAAGTTAAAGTATTACATCTATTAGCATCACTCTCGCCATCTCTAGTAAGCTGTGAGAACGAATCATGTATATTCCTCTATCTAAGTACCACGATTATCAGAAGATTATCAGAACGCTATTATCTATTATATATGCTTAAGAACATCCCTCCACCTTGCTTGATGAGGCCGGCCAGACCTACTAATACCTAAAGTATTTATAGGGTCTTGATGAGGATCCTCGACTGAGCGGAACGAGCTATGAGTCAAGATAACTGTGTATAGAACTTGTTCATAAAATGTCTCTTGTGTGAGAATATGATCTTATTATAGGTATTAACCTACATAATTCTGGTAATAATCTGGTAATCCTTACTTGTTGAGGTTGCATTTGATTGATTCGCATTTGATAGAGACTATCCTTCCCATCTGTGACTTCTTTTTGCAAATGTCTGATGCAAGATGTGTTGCCATAGACTTTGGGCCAGCAGACTTGATTGCAGGATGCGTAAGGGCCTTCGAACAATAAGTACAAATAACACATGGTTCTCCAGAAAGCCGGTCTGCTCCTTGGTGATAACTTCTCCAGTATTGAGAACTCCAGTTGGTTGAATCCCATGCAATCTTCATAAGGAGTTTTGTAGTATGATCTGAGTGTTGTTCATACCATCGTGATAGCTTCCACCACTCAATGAATATATCGTGTGTATCCTTAGTCCATTTGACGAATTGGTTTAACTTGCCAATATATTCAAGGCCTGCAGGGACTTTGTAAGGATGCCTGTCCCTCAGTGATGGAAAGGATCTGAGTCGGGCAGGTTACGGTCACATGATAAGAGTTAAGGCAGGTTAGCTGAGTCGGACCCGTTTCGGGTACTTAAGGAGATTGACCCAACGGGGGTTCCTCTCTTCATCTTTTTTGTATCCTTCGTAGTAGACCTATAGGATAGCATCCGTTTAGCCTCTGACTCGCACTCTCATATGCTATTACTGTGAGCTGGGTGCCCTGTGTCCTTACAGACTTAATTTAATGAGGATAGTCGTTGAGAAGACGGAAAAGAGTCTGAGAATACTGTCAGAATCAAACAACTCTGAGTATTGAGATGGCATTTGGCAAATTGCTCGATTATCAGAAGGTTACCAGAAGTCTGGCTACGATGAAGTACTTAAATACCTGGTTTTCCAACGCGAAAGGTACTCCAGCGCTATAACTTTAGCAACTCAAGTTCTCCTCTACTCTAGCTCCAGGAACAACATATCCTGTGCAGCTGATACCTTAGCCCACTTTTCCTTATCAAACTTCTTAGAGTAGACAAGTAAGAACGCCTCTTTGAAGCTAGAACTATGAGTGGATATTTGCAACCATCCATTGTCGACAAGATTGTAAGACTTTGGGTACCACTGCACAGGTCCTGGTAATTAGGCCCACTTTCCAAACTGCCTGCTCGTACAAACAGAAATATTTATGTGGTGGGATAACCTCGTGAAAAGTGCTATAATAAACAATTAGTATTGCCAGAAGATTGCTAGGATGATCAGAGACGTACCCTTCCTCTACATCAATCCACGGCATATACTCAAAGAGATGCTCAGGCTTCTTTCTCAGCTTTCCAGCCTTTCTCGTATATGAGTGGATACAGCTATCCCAGAAATGTTGCCACTTGCGGAAATTGGACTCTTCATGGGCCTATCAACTATTAGTATCACCAGAAGATTACCAGATTATGAGGTAGCATACATCAATGTGCGCTTGAGTTAAGAGAGCCTGGGTGCTAGTGATCTCTTCATCGGAAAGCTCATCTGGTAGAACAGCCTCGTCATTTAAAATATCTCGCGCTGTAACATAAGCTCCAACTCCAAATCGTCTTCAACCTCAGTATCCTCCCATTCGCTGTTATGATTGTCATCGATTGGAATACTTGAGATACCCTCAAATGCAGCAAGCTCAGACAGAAGTTATTTGGGCGGAGTAGATGGTGGGGCTTGTGGAGAAGAAGAGGCGCTAATATTCTTGACTTTCTGATTCGCAATGCAAGATGCATGGGTACCCTTCTCAGTCCTGTTTATAGTTAGATTGAGGCTACCAGAGATTACCAGAAGGAACTTACCGAACACAAATACGCTCAACCTTCAATTCATTCTGTAGACGTGTCTTGTCTTCAGTAGAGGCAGCGATATACTTTGTGTAATGACACAGGGCACCCAGCTCACAGTAATAGCATATGAGAGTGCGAGTTGGAGGCTAAAAGGATGCTATCCTATAGGTCTACTACGAAGGATACAAAAAAGATGAAGGGGGAACCCCGTTAAGTTTGTTTCCTTAAGTACCCGAAACGGGCCCGACTCGGTTATCCCAACCCTAGCCCTGAACCTTCCACCGCAACAGGTCCACATCGACCCTGAACCCTACACCCTTACCGTCCCCCACTATAGTGTAACTCGCTATGTCCTCCTCTACTGGTCCGAAACCACACCGAGTCGGATTTCATGCTTGTGGTGACCGTAACAGCTCTGAGGCGGGTTCTTCGAGTATCTAGGTAAGGAGGCATCCTTACACTTTGCAGACTTATATAACTTCTTTAAGTAGTAGCTCAGATCAGCATGGTCAGCCTTGAGTGCTAAGTGAACAGCCTTCTCATCTTCAGTAAGGTTGGAGACGCAGTTGCGAGCTTTGATAGTATTCGCATTAGTGGAGAGTTCTTCATGTGCCTTGAGTTTCGCCATACTAACTAAACACGTGATTAGCAGAGATCTCCAGAAGTTCTGGCTATAGAATCAAGATAATAAACTTAGTTGAAGTCCTAGAGAAGAGGTAAAGGCTCAAAAGGGAAGAAGAATGTGTAGATCGGAGAGTAACCAAGGAAGGTGGTTCTAAGGTCGTGGTTATTTTAAAGTTGCAAACAAAAATATTTGTGAAGGAATATTCACCTACAAAGAATTACTGTTCCAAAAACAACACCACAATGCGCACCTTCATATAAAACACATACCTTTCAACCTCTACCTCTTTACTATACTCTTCTTCTGCAATATTCTTTCTACAAACTCACTGTAAGTACACATATCTTTTGATCTACTTCTTTATCTTGTGTTTACTTTACTAACTCACCTTGATATTAGCAAATGACTCGTACCAAGCAAACTGCTAGGAGATCAACGGGCGGCATAGCACCAAGGATGCCACTTGGATTACGGGCTGGCTCTGGGCTTGGCGGAAAGGGACAGGAAAAGGCTGTGGGCACAGCAAGAAAAGCTCCAGTTTGCTCATCTCAAGCTAGCAACAATCATGCTCAGAAGGCCACGCGCTGCACAAAGTCTAGTAAGAGGATTACCAGAGGATTACCAGAGGATTACCAGAACTCTCTAATAAACATATAGGCACCAAGGCTCTCCGCGATATCAGAAGACAGCAACTTGATACTAGCTCCCATTCCAGCGTCTTGTTAGGGAAATCACAGAAGACTTCAAGTCCAATCTTCGCTTCCAGCAATCTGCTATCCTAGCTCTTTAGGAAGCTGCTGAATGCTTCCTCATTCGAGAATTTGAGAGTATGATGTTTAAACATAGTGACAGGGACATACTAACAGTTATAGTGACAAACCTCCTCGCTATTCATGCGAAGAGAGTGACAATTCAGGCAAAGGGTATGATATTGGTTCGGCGTTTGCAGGATATGATGTTTAAGCTGTGGGCTTAATCGATGGAAATGTCTCTCACCCAGGAATGAAGGTCAGATGAGTTCTGGCAACCATCTGGTAACCTGGTACCTAAAGGCCAAAGGTTATAGTGTGGAATAGGACATCAACAATATGGGAATGGAGTTGGAGTTATGGCGTCTTGATCAATGAAGTCGCACCCCGTTTTTAACATAAGTAATGGCTAATCAAACACGTGATATAACTGAGTTGCCAAGACCCATACTAGGTACTCAGCAAGTGAGTAATCCTCATTCAACAATACTCGGGACATGAGTGAGTAACTCAGCTGGGTGAGTAAAAATTCTACTACTCGACTCGTGAGTACCCAGTGCGCAGCCTAGTTGCAGTGCCAGTGGTAGAAGCTGCGGAGAACCTAATACTCCGATCGCTTATGCGAATGATCACCATCGTCGGATTAGAATTAAGCCTCGGGCTAAACAAGCATGTTTCCACCGCGAGGCCTTTCGAAAAGCGATGTGGAAATATTTCTCGTTTGTGAGGCTTTCCGAGAAGAGACGCTGAACATTGCCCCTTTTCAAGGCTTTCAAGAACAGAAGCTCCCTGAACATGGCTCTATCACGAGGCTTTTTGAGACAGGAAGCTGTCCAAACATCAAGTACAAATAGACCACTACTTTCCGTTCATTCTATCTATTATCAATCCAAAGCATCAACTCACCAACTCATCTACTCATCAACTCATCAACCTAATCTTACCAACTTAGCCACCATGAAGCTCACTCTTTTCGCTGCTGCTGCCGCTCTGGCCTCTACTGCCGCTGCCTTCCCCATTATAGGCGACAGTGTCAACTGCCGTTCTGGCCAGGCACAAGCTATGCTGTGAAGAAGTCATACGCCAAGGGCCACGATGTTACAATAACCTGCCAGACTGGAGGAACCAGCGTCAGCGGAAACAGCATATGGGATAAGACATCCGATGGCTGCTATGTTGCCGATTACTACGTCAAAACTGGCTCCAGCGGCTATGTCAAGCCGAAGTGCAGTAGCGGCGGCGGCGGAGGCAGCTGCTCTGCGACTAAATCGAATGCGGCCAGCGTCGACCTAATTGCTGAGTTTGAGGGTTTCGTCGCCAAAGTTTGTTAGTGACCCTTCTGCGCAAGCATACATTTTCAGGGATACTAACAAATTGACAATAGACATTGATGCCACTGGCCACCCCACCGTCGGCTATGGCCATCTTTGCACCAAGTCGAAGTGCGCCGAGATAGGATACCCGATCCCGCTTTGCCAGGCCAATGGCAAGAAGCTCCTCGCCACAGAAATGGCTGTAAGTAGCCTTTAATTCTTGAAATACCCTTGCTTTGGTTCAACTGTTGGATTATTCAATGTTTGCATCTTTAATATATGAGCATATCACCACTACCAGCCTATTCAATTTGTAAATGCATGTTGACGCTAGGTGCCTTTCCTTTACAATGACTTGGATGACTCTTCAGCGTCTAACTTCTATGAGTTGCCGTGATGAGAATGCAAAAGAACAGTAACTACTTTATTGTGTGCTTTAATCTACCTGCTAAACGCGCGGAAGTCGACTTGAGTAATGGCGTACGGCAAGATCCATTCCAAATCCCATCTTATGATATTCTCCTCAGGGTTGCCGAGCAGCTTGATGATCCGGAATGTTTAATGAACCCGATATGGGTATCCTGGTGTAAGGCGGCCCTCACGTGAGGGCACGTGAGGTGTCACGCTCTTACAGTGGACCTGGCGGGCTCGGTAAATTAGGGCCTACGGGTTCCTGTATATAAGGGGCTGGAGGCTCGGAGTGAGGCCTCCAGTCAATAGTCGCTGTATATACGTAGACCTATTGTTACGCATTGAATCCTACTTCCTACCTACTGATCTGGTTCCCTGAGCTCCCGTGTGACCCTGGGTCCTACGACTTTACAATTCTATTGACTCAACCCATACTCAGCCTACCAGATCAGGATGGCGAGCCAGGAAAAGAGGATTACCCGAGCGACCTCCGGAGGAGCGACTCCAGCGGCAGAAACCATCGAGGCCAGCCCACCGACTCTGGGCCCTGAAGCCAGCAGCTCCGCGACGAGCAAAGCGGACAGGATGCCGTCAAAGCTGGCCGCCCTCAAGAATAGGATCGAAGAAGAGAGGGCCTACTACAATACCATGGAAGAAGCCCTCCAAGTATTCCGACGATCGCACGGCGACGACTATAGCGCCTACCCGGAGGAAGTAAGGGTCTTCGCAGAAAGACAGGTCCGAATACAAGAAGAAGGACGCCGGAAAAGGCGACACCAAGACAGTGAGGAAGAATGGGAGGGGACCCCAAACGAGGAGGAACAAGAGACTGCCTCCGTAGTATCGCGAGAAGCAACCCCGTCATATAGGCCTTTCGGCAAGGTCAAGGACCCTAAGGTCTACAAAGGCGAGTCGACACGAGAGCTCAACGAGTTTATGGCCTCAATCCGCGCTTCCTTCCGATACCAGCCAAGAATGTTCCCAACCGAGCAATCCAAGGTGGCCTTCACCGCCCAATACCTTGAGAGCAACCCCATGAAGGAGTGGGACAACCGCTGCGCCTCGCAAGAGGAAGGGCTCGAGGACCCTTTAGATATCGCAGGGTTTGAAGAGTTCCTTCGCGACCTCCATATCGACCCAGCCAACCGGCAACGCATTGCAGCCCTCAAATACAACGGCGCCCACCAGCGTAAGGGGCAGGGTATCCGCAAATTCGTTGCGTACCTCGAGGAATTGGAGCGGGAAATGGAGCCCTACACCGAGTCCCAGAGGACCACCCACCTCCTGACGAAGTTACACCCAGAAATGAGGCAGCGCCTCCTTGAGGGTGGCTACGCCGAGCGTTCCACGACCCACAGGGAGGCTGTTGTCAATATCCTAGCCATGCTGGAAATGAACAACCGGTGGGTAACCGAGAAGAATCCTTCTACGGATAGGCCCAACACAAGGGAGAATAAGGGAACCCTGCAGGGTGGCTTTCCAGCTCGGAAGGGCCACTTCAATAGCCACAAGTCGGGCAATCACCGGGAGCGAACGCCCTTCCAGGATCGCCGTCGATCGGACCAACAACCTGCGCGCAAGCCAGCCGACACCCAAGGCGCAAGGCCTACCCAAGTAGGGAACGCCTGTTACAACTGTGGCAGACCAGGCCACTTTGCAAAGGACTGCCGTAGCCAGCACACTGGGCCGGGAGTCCGGAAGCTGGATACCCAACTCCTCAAGCGGGAGTGACTCCCTACCGAAGCCCTACGCCCTACGCAGGCGAAGAGGATGGAGATCGACATTGAAATCAAAGTAGGGCCTACCTGGCACAAGGCCAAGGCTCTACTCGATTCGGGGTCGGACGCGTCAACTATCCACCCCCTCTTCGCAAAAGATAAGGGCCTAGAGTGCCGAGACAAGGGCCCACCTCGAGCGAGGGCTGTGGACGGCAAGGAGATTGCCATATACGGAGCGGCGACCGTACAGATCAAGGCCTGGGACCACTTTCGAAGGGAGACGACCGTAGACCAGACGTTCCTTTCCATGGATACCCCTGGTGTGGATGTTATCCTTGGAATGGACTGGATCGTACAGGTCAACCCCCAGATCGATTGGCAGACCCAGATATGGCGCTACCCCTTCGATATATCGAAGGCGATGGAGGTGGGTATTGAAGAGCTAGACAAAGGCGATACTGCCTTTGTCCTGGCGTTGACCTCGGAAGGAGCATTGGAACCCCAATGCCCAAGGGAGTACGCTGAATTCGCCGACGTCTTCTCTAAGGAGCGGGCAGAAGACCTACCCGAGCTGGGTAGGAAGACCCACGGTATCGATACCAGCATGCAAGAGCCGCCTTACGGCCCGGTATACAACCTATCTGAGACGGAGTTGGCCACACTCCGGGAATACCTTCAATCAAGCGAAAGGAAGGGTTGGATCCAGAGGAGCATAAGCCCAGCGGGCGCGCCCATACTGTTCGTACAGAAGAAGGACGGCAGTCTACGCCTCTGCGTGGATTATAGGGGTCTGAATAAGATCACCGTAAAGA